AAAAATAAATAAAAATAAAAAAAAATAAAAAAGGATGATGGCAGGAAGAAACTAATCATTAAGACAAAAGTAATAAAAAGCTGTAGACCAGTGACCTGGGAATGTTATCAAAATACAGGTTCCAATTTAGTAGGTTTGGGGTAAGTCCTGAGACTGTATCTCATTCCAGGTGATACCAAAGCTGCTGGTTTGGAGATCACACTTTGAGTAGCAAAGCTTAAGAAAATCTTCAGACCGGACTTGCCCTTAGAGTCAGAAACTAGACTGAAATAACGTTAACGCCTTCTTTCTACAGCACTGAATTTGTTTGAAATCACCAGTTATTTTAAAAGAAAGAGAACCAAACGAGAAGATGTCATTGTGAAATTACTTTTCAGAACTTTGGCTCAACATGGACATACAGTGGCCCTCTGTTATTTACTGAATGAATGAAGACTAGTCACTATAAGTCTGAGTACGCCAGGATGCTGTAAAGGATTAACTCTGCGTACTTGGAAACAGAAAACATGCTAAGCATCAGCACTTTTTTAAACTGACCAAAACAGCTTTCAAACCAAACAAAGCCTTTTACCTGACCCTAGATGGAAATGGCCACAGAGGGAAAGTGGTATGAAACAGTAAAGCTAACTAATTTCTGATTTCAACAAAAAGACGGACTACCACTTGCTTCCAAGCCTCAAGTACTTTAACAGTCCCGCATATCTTTTAGTACTCTGCAGTTTTCAAGGTCAATTTTCACTCATGGGCTAACGTGGTTCTCATAAAACTCCTATGTTCTCTAAAAGTTTACAAAAGGTGAATAAGAACACGCAAAGATGTTCATTAGAGGAATGGAAAATTAAAACCACAGTGAGAACCCACTTTATACCCATTATAGTATTTTTATTCAAAAAGATAATAACCAATGTTGATAGAGAGGTGAACAAATTGGAACTCCTATACATTGCTGATGGGAATGTAAATTGGTGCAGCCACTGTGGAAAACAGTTTGCCAATTCCTCCAAAGGTTCACCATAAAGTTACCTTATGACCCAGCAATTCTACTCCTAGATTTATAACCAGGAGAAATGAAAACATGTGCACAGAAACACTTGTACATGAATGTTGATGGCAGCATTCTTCACAAGAGCCACAGGTAGAAACATCAGCTGATGGACAATCGAAATGTGGTATATCCATACAATGGAATTTAACTTGGCAATAAAGAAGAATGAAGCATGAATACATGCCACAAGTGGGATTAACCTTAAAAACATACTAAGTGAAAGAGGCCACATATTGAATACCATTTATATCAAATGTCCAGAATAGGCAAATTGGGAGAAGCAGAAAGTAGACTAGTGGTCGCCTAGGGCTAAAGGAGCTGAAGAAGAAATTGGGAACAAGTGCTAATGGGTAGTGGTTTCTTTTTGCGGAAATGGAAATGTTCCAAAATTGACGGTGGGGATGGTTCCACAACTTTGCAAATGTACTAAAATCCACTGAACTGTATGCTTTAAATAGGTGAACGACACGTACGTGATTTATTTCTCAATGAAAACCTAAAAAAAGAAAAAAAAAAGAAAAATTCACACACACACAAATGCAAATACAAACTAAATGGTTGTAGTGAATGATCGTATTTTTATCTGGAAATAATTATTAAATGTAATCTAGCTTAAAAATTCTATGAAAGGGTAAAATTATTTTGTTCATTCCTATTTGACACACACACACACACACACACACACACACACACAAAGGGAAGTAACACAGGGTCAATAGACACAGGGGTTAAAAAAAAAAAAAAAAAAAAAAAAAAAAAAAAAAAAAAAAAGGTGAGCTGAGGCCCGAACAGGAGTTTTCTGATTTTTAACCCTCTTGCGTTTCACCGATAATGTATGTAACATTTCTGAAACCTCGCCGCGAAGAAATACAACGCTGGGGGTCAGGAGACAAAGAATGTTGTTTGTTTTCCCAGAGGAGTTTTTGGGGAAACTCAAATTTCCGTGATCGTTTATGGAGCCCTCACGCGGCAGCCTTTATAATTTCTCACCGTTTCCCACTTGGAAGCTGACTTTCTTCAACTCTACAGAAGGAAGGGTATCCAGTCCCTGGGCAGTCCCACCCAGCACTGAAGCAAAATAATCCCAAGAAAGCACGTTTCCAGATCTTTGGGCTAAAGCAAAAACTTTAATAAGCTGCATATTTCTTCCTACTCGTACGACCAACAAGATTAAAGGGGCTTAGATGGGTGAAGTTTTCAATGGGGCACACCCCCCCCCCCCAACCGTCCTTTAGAGAGCCCCGAGACGCAAGGAGAAATGTCACTAAACGACAGAGAGATGCAGGGGTCCAGGAAGGGTTGAGCGGGGGTGGGACGTGAGGCCCGACGCCGACCCCGGTCCCGCAAGGAGGGTGACGGGTGCGAGGGTCACGCCCGGTGCGGGAGCCCGAGGTGGGGAGACGGCAGGTGGGGCCGGAGGGAGGGAGGGGGGCGCGGACGCTCTGCAGGGACGTGACGAGGCTGGGCCGCACTCACGAAACGCTGGTAGAAGCGGACCAGCCGCGGCTTCCCGTGGTTGTTGAAAACCAGAATCGCTTGAATCATCTTTGCCGGCCACGTTCCTTTCAGCGCCAGCGGCCCCCACAAAGCACCTACTTCCGCCACAACACGGCCACTTCCGCTGGGTGCGCTGCTGAGCGCGGCCGGCGGAAACGTGCCCCGGCGCCCAAGGGGCCCGGCCGCGAAGAGTCCGGCTTCCCGGCACCCCCAGGAGAAAGCGCCAGGGTGGGCTAGCGGGGAGGGGGCGGGGGTCGGGCCGCTGCGGACCCCGAGGCTGGGCAGCGTCGTCACCTCGGCTGGCACCGGTTTGCCAGTCAGGGGCTGGCCAGGGCGCGAACCCGGATCTCTTGCCGTTCGGCCGGCCGGACCGCTTGCTGCAGAATCTCGGGCGGAGCACGTCGGGAAAGCAGATCCCGAAGCCGAAGTCCCTGACAGCAGCCGCGCTCCCAGGCGACTGGGCGGCGGGGGGCTCCCTGTTTCCCCGTCTCCCCTTCTCCCCGTCCACGCGAAACGCGCAGTCCTGCCTCTCCCCTTAACACTTGCAGAACGGTTCGCAGCGTGGAGATACCAGCCTATTTAGCCGTTGCCCGCTTAGGGAACGTGAAGTTCATTTTTGATTTTCAGTACTATATACATAACAACGCTGCAGGCAATATTAATGCCTGCTGGTGCAAAAGGGCCGTTTCTCCACGGTAGGTAGCGAGGGGTGGAATTAAGGAATCTTCAGCGCAAATCCATGTGACGATCCCAAATTTGTAGATTTCCTTTCTTCTTTTAATGACTTGGGGTGAGGTGGAGCACGTCCCTTGTTGCAGCTATAGAGCTGCGAATCGGAAGCACCTGTCCAGAGGACTGTTCCGCAGTGGGGAGCAAAAACCTTTACGATGTGTAGAACATGAGGCCCAGCATTTACAGTTTTGGAATTTATAATAAAAGGATTGTGGGATGTGTGAAAAGCCTCAAGAATGTACATCTCAGCAGTGTTAACTGCAGGGAAAAATGGGACATACACTAATCATTCAAACGAGACGATCCTTAAATGCATTGTTCTATCTGCACATGAGGAATATTAAATGGCCATTAAAAATAATGTGAGGAGCGCCTGGGTGGCCAAGTCATTTAAACCTCTGACTCTTGGTGTCTGCTTGGGTCATGATCTCAGTTTGTGGGTTCGAGCCCCGTGTCCGGCTCCGCACGGAGTGTGGAACCTGCTTGGGATTCTCTCTCCCTCTCGCTGCCCCACCCCTGCTCATGCTGTCTCCGTCTCTCTCAAAATAAATAAACTTAAAAAAGAATAATGTTGTGAAAGGTTTATGGGATAGATAAATGTTCATGACATATCTAAGTGAAAAGATCACACAAAGTATGTACATGGATACCCCACTTTGTAAAAGACTGTAAGTAGATACACTAAAATAGAAATAATAATTGTGTCTCATGGAATGGCAGCATCACAAAGGATTCTGCACGGGCCACAGTAACAACACTGCCCTGGTTAGAACCCTAGCTCTGTTGACCACCTGGGCCCCTCCAGCAAGTGTCTTCATCTGTAGAACAGGTGTGGTATCAGTTTCATTTACTGTAATACTAGACTTTTTTCTACTTGAAAAAAAAACTATTCTCCTTAGACGGTTATAAACACAAAATTAGTTACTGTTTGTCACCACGTGGAGCATGGCATGTAACTGAGTTACTACACAAGCGATTTCAAAAACGGTGGTGAAATTGTATGTTTTTCATTTTTTGAATTTTCTAAAATACAAGAGTCTTACTCTTGTAGCCAGATTTTTTTTTTTAACTTAAACCCAAAGGCAGTCAATGCGCACTGAAACTTGACAAAATGTTTCAAATGTTGAGGCAGAATATCAAAATTCTAAGACAAGAGTAATGAGGGGTACCTAGCTCTACAAAACCTTAAAGCCTCCTATGATAGTCCAAATTTTCACTACAGGGAGACTTATTGAAATGTAATAACTTAGGTATAAAATAACTTTAGGGGCGCCTGGGTGGCTCAGTCAGTTAAGTGTTGAGCTTCCGACTTCGGCTCAGGTCATGATCTCGTGGTTTATGGGTTCGA